GAATTTTGTGTTTCCACCCGTTGCCCTTGCTAAGGGCAGTTACTATTCATTTTTTTGTTTTATTCACAACTTTTTTTACCTCAATAATTAATTTGGATAATATTTTCGGATAAGATTTTCGGGTTCCTACGTGTCAATACTATTCATATCTCATAATCGGATAAAATTTTCAATTTCAAATTTCAGATAAATTAAAAAAAAAAGGCTGGTATTTATAGAAAAAAATTCATTAATTTTTGGGTATTTTTTAAAAAAATTTCTGAATTTTTTCCAGTATTTTATGGCAAAAAAATTGGCTGCCGTTGGATTGGAGGAAAAAATCAGATCGGAGAGCCCAGACGACGCCACGTGGCAACAGGAAAAAATCAAATAAGCGATGCACTGTAGCGGGGGTACTGTAGCAGTACTGTAGCGGTACTGTAGCGGTTACTGTAGCGCTACAGTACCCCCCGGTTTGGACCTCAGGGAGAACTTGGCTTCGGGGCCGCCCGAGGAGGTGGGTCCCACACCCCCCCCGGGCCTGGGCTGCTCCGCTGGAACTCCATGTTTTTTTTTTTCCCCCCAGCCTTGGGCTGGGCTGCAGCGGTGGAACTACTCTTAGGGCCTCGAGGAAGACTGGGCTGCTTTGGATCCTGGAGTCTTTTAGATTACAGGATGAGTATGGCCCTGAGCTGAGCTAACTTGTAGTTTGTTTTGTTTTTTTCTTTTTGGGTCTGAAAATACTTCATTAAAAGGCGCAAAAACCGCCAGCAAAACAAGAAGACCGGCCATAAATTTGTACTGCCATTTTACCCTGGTTGTCAATTCAATTTTCTTTAAAATTAAGAGCCATGATTTACAAATTACAATCCTCAATCCTGATTTTCATCGAATCATCTGAAGTTCTGTTGGGGAGAAGCTCAATCTGATTCTTTTTGGGAGGGAACAAATGGGGCTTCTCAGCATCATTCGAAAAATTAAAAGGAAGGAAAAAGAAATTCGTATACTCATGGTGTAAGTGAAACTTCATCTCTCCCTCTCTTGCCTTTTGTTCACTCGTATGATATGAGAATTAAGTAATCGTTCGTTCGTTCGTTCGTTCGTTTGTTTTGTTTGTGAAGTGGGCTTGACAATTCCGGCAAGACTACCATTGTGCTCAGGATTAATGGAGAGGACACCAGCGTTGTCAGTCCCACACTCGGCTTCAACATCAAGACCATCACTTACCAAAAGTAAGTGAACTACGCTTAACCCCAAATCATGATTTTATTTTTTTTTACATTTGTATTTGTTTGTACCAAAGTGTTGTTATCCAAATAGTTTGGGGGTTAATCATACATAGATATAGTTGGAATGCTTGGGGCCCTTATTAAGGACATTGGGTGTTTATTTTCTCAATTTGGGGGTTGTCTTCCCAGGTTAATGACAACTGTTTATTTCATTGATTCGTTTTTAGACCATAAAAAACTCTGGCACCAATGCGGTTTTGAAGTTTCATACTTTGTTTATTATGATATGGAAACTTGAAATGCTTGTAATTTGATATTGGCAAGTATACCCTTAATATATGGGATGTCGGGGGACAGAAAACAATAAGATCTTCCTGGAGAAACTATTTTGAGCAAATTGATGGTCTGGTATGGGTAGTTGACAGTTCAGATCTTAGATGGTTAGATGACTGCAAAATCTTTTGAAGGAAGAGGAATATTCGCTTATTACTTCATTATACACTCGCTCTTTTTGTTTTTGTACCTAGTGTAAAATAACGCATTTGGATTTCTTGTTATTCATATACCTCCTTTAATGTACAATACGATTTATGTGCTCATATGCAGTTACAACTATTAGGATATCCATCTGGCATGTGAGCATGTTATGAGTGTATCAACTCATGATGCATTTTCTCGAGTCTTGTATGAGTGTATAACTGTTTTTAACTTTTGCTGGCTGTGAACTGATTAATTATGTATTTGAGATGCATCACTTGAAATTTCGGATAAGCAATCACATCCTCTTAAATAACTTATAATGTTGCTGGTCTGGAATCCTGATGAATATCCACATGATAAGACCTAGGAAATGCTTTGAGGAGTTTTCCTTGCGCTTGCGAGTTATGACCATTATTTTGGTCAAATGTTCTAAAGAAGCTGACTTGTTTTGATGATATGACAGAGGCTATCTGGATCATCCTTATTGATACTAGCAAATAAACAGGACATAAAAGGTGTCCTTACTCCAGAAGAAATTGCTAAGGTAAGGCTCTAGGTCAGTGTGTATATACAAGTAGGATTTATTGTGAATGTAGCCCTGGTTTTGTTTTGCATGCTTTGACTACCCATTGCCCATAGACAGCTTTATTCATTGTCTTGTTATGTTGCTTTAGATTGTTTATTCACTTGTCTTATTGTCTGGATGACAAATGCAACAACAGCATGGGTTTTACTCATCATGTCCGTGGAGTTTATATGCAACAATGTCATGTGAAATCTTTCAAGGAGTTTTGGGATATGGTCGAAACAATTTATATACAGATGAAGATGAGCATTGCCTTTAAAATTCTGAGTTTCTGAAACAGTTATGTATTATACTTCCGTCTAGGTTTTGAACTTGGAGGCGATGGATAAAACTCGGCATTGGGAAATTGTTGGCTGCAGTGCATACACGGGAGATGGACTGCTTGAGGGATTTGATTGGTTGGTCCAAGATATTGCGTCTCAGATCTATGTGCTGGACTAATGCCTATCTTGAGTATTTTATTTTTGGTTGTGTTTTGAGTGATTTTTCATTGAGGTGTCTTGGTATTTATGGAAAGCTGAATGGAACTTTCAGAGTTTGAAGCAAACTTTGCTGTTAAAAGTGAGAGGGAAAATGAATCGTTGTAGTTGTAGCCTTGTGTAGATCAAATATTTTAAAAATACACTAGCACTCTCTTTCTTTTCCTACAATCATTCATGCATGGTAGAAGATTACCCACTTTTGGTTGGTCTTTAAGCAAATGACCTTGTTTACAAACTTCCTCATCTTGTCCTTGTTTTGTTCCTTGTTTACTGCTGCTACTGGTGCCCAGGGGCCACAGCCACTCCATCTTCATGATATCTGCTTAACCCTGGCTTCGTAATTCGTAGGCCCAGCCCAGCCCAATTTCATGTGGGCTTCGATTTGTTCATAAAAGCTAAATTACGCTTTTGAGCTTGTGGTTGTATGCACTACTTTACTCTTTCACATGGAGTCATTCTACAGTGAGGGGCTTTAGATAAGGTCCTATTTTTAACCGTTTGATCAGACTAATTAATTTAATCCAACGGCTAGTCAATTTGATCAAACGGTTAAGAGATAGGGCATTAACTGGGGGAATATCAGAAACAAAGTAACTTAACTGGTCCACTGAGTCCTACGCGGTTTGGGCTTGTCCGATCCCATTAGATCTTCCCAAGCCCAACCCATCCCAGGGATTATTTTATGTAAAATTATATAATTCCCCTCTCCTTGTCACGGCCTCCAGTTCGGTTCCAGGAAAGCGTAGCGGACGTGGCGGACACTAATTGGCTAGAACAACAATTCGCTAACGGTGATTGGCCAATTTGGAGTAAAACACGTTGCAAAATGCAAATGGAAGCGATGACTTGACTCTACACTACACAAGACAATTGAATTGACGAAGTTAGCGAGCGATTGGGAGTGTGTGAGTGTCCTCCTTCCTTTCTGTTACCTGTTGCCTCCGTTGTTGTTGTGTTGGATAGATTATATCAATTAAGTAAACCAACAAACGAACTCAACCTTGATCCATCCATCCATCCATGCCTGCCCAGGTCTCAGGACGAGAGGGGGCCGACTGACTGACGACGACGACAGACCTAGAGTTTAATTTGTTTCCTAGAATTAACAGTCGCCTTAAATTCATTCATAAATTAATTAATTGGAGATCCAGTTGATTTGAGCTCCAAAATCAGATCTTGCAATGGCGCATCAGAGAACCAAGCTTATTTTCCTGTTGCTGGTGTTGTGCGCTCTCTGCTATACGTTCGCCGCCATTGCAGGGAAGAGCTATTATGAGATACTCCAAGTCCCCAAGGGAGCCTCCGACGAGCAGATCAAGAGGGCTTACCGAAAGCTCGCCCTCAAGTACCATCCTGATAAGAACCAAGGCAATGAAGAGGCTAATAAAAAATTCGCCGACATCAACAATGGTGCTTCCTTACTTACTTCTATTCCTCCTCCTCCTAATTTCTCTTCCATTCTTCACTTTTTATTGATTTCCTCTTCTTTTCTTCTTTTGAAAATAATTAGCCTACGAGGTGCTTTCGGACAGCGAGAAGAGGGGCATATACGATAGGTATGGAGAAGAGGGGCTGAAACAGCATGCCGCTAGTGGAGGCAGAGGTGGCGGTGGTGGAATGGGAATGAACATCAATGACATCTTTGCCGAGTATGTTTCCTTTCCTTCTTCATTCCCCTCTTCTTCTGCTTTAATCAGATATTTGAATTACAATACATTCCATATAATTCCTCATATCAGCAATATCAGTTCAAAACTTTAAATCTAGAATTTTCAGATTTAATGTCTCTTTTCTTTATTAATATGGACCATGGACTAAGAACTATGAGCGAGTTTAATTACAGACTTAAAAGTAAGGTAGCTCTAATTGCATATTTGTATAGTAGCTCAGCTCACTTTGTAATTTTGAGGACATCTCAGTTCTTTTTGTTTTACTTTTTAACAACTTAAAGGTTTCTTTTAGTTTTTTTGGTGGGCGCTCCATGGAAGACGAAGAGAAAATCGTCAAGGGCGATGATGTAGTTGTAGAATTGGATGCAACATTGGAAGACCTCTATCTGGGAGGCTCATTGAAGGTAAGATGCATGTCTCAATTATGAATATGCATGGCTTCCAGAATCTGAAAGATATGAAGTTGTTCACCTATGCAATTTTAAAATGTCATCATATACTACACTTTCGCTTACCACATTTGAATAATCCGAATTATGGGCAATAAGCATATCAACCTTGCCTGAAAAGGTTATACTGAAAATCATTGAAGTTTTAGTGATCGACAATAGCATGACATCATAAGTTTCTTTTTGTGTTTCTGTACACACACACACACACACTCTCTCTCTCTCTGTCTCTCACTGTGATATGATCTGATTTTCTTTGTGTTTGTTCTGACATCTTTCTGCTATGTTTACTACATGCAAGAGAAACCATCTTTCCAAGCCTGTAAGCTGGTTGATCTTTTCATTTATGTGTGACTTTGTACAGGGCCTTTATATTATGGGCAATAAGCATACCAACCTTGCCTGAAAAGGTTATACTGAAAATCATTAAAATTTTAGTGATCGCCAATAGCATGACATCATTAAGTTTCTTTTTGTGTTTCTGTACAAACACACACACACACACACACACACACTCTCTCTCTCTCTCTCTCTTTCTCTCTCTCCATGCCTCACTGTGATATGATCTGATTTTCTTTGTGTTTGTTCTGACATCTTTCTGCTATGTTACTACATGCAAGAGAAACCATCTTTCCAAGCCTGTAAGCTGGTTGATCTTTTCATTTATGTGTGACTTTGTACATGGCGTTTATCAGGTTTGGAGGGAGAAGAACGTTCTAAAGCCAGCACCAGGCAAGAGACGTTGTAATTGTAGAAATGAGGTCTATCACAGGCAAATCGGTCCAGGGATGTTCCAACAGATGACAGAAGAGGTATGTGCTCCAACAAACATTTCTTCCAACAAATTCTTCCAAATTCATTTATTTCTTATTAGGGAAAAACAACTTTTGGGAGGATGATAATTTCTTTAGGCTGCATAAGAAAATGTTGTTCCATTATTGGCAACACATCTGTTGCCTCTGAAAAAAGCCGTTTGTAGTCCTTCATTATTGTTTGTAGGCTGCGTTCACAAGCATGTCCATCTAGTCTGCATAGACTAATTTCTTTTTCTGTCGCATTAACAATTACTTTGACTGGTTATGCTACTGCCTTTCTTACATACTTTATTATGGCTCTTACAGGTCTGTGAACAATGTGCCAATGTCAAATATGAAAGGGAGGGATATTTCATCACTGTTGATATTGAGAAAGGGATGCAAGATGGGCAAGTAAGCTTTCGTTCTTCATTTCCCTTTGCAAGCTTTAGAGTTTATTTTTTTGTGAATTTGTTTATGTCAGTTGATTATCTCGTCCCTGTGTTTCCATGTATCCTCTCATATGTATTGTTATATGTTGGTGTTTTAAATTTCAATTCCTTTTAATACCAGATTTTAGAGCATCATTCTGAATCTTTTGAAATATATGCTGTTGTTCTGAATAGTAGCTTTCTTGAAATATCTTGAATGATACTGTGTTCTGTCCATACTTGTAGAATTGAAAAACATTTGCTGTGATGAGTATAATTTGTTCTGATTAGAATGAGAAAAAAATTATGCTTTTAAACAGGAGGTGGTTTTCTATGAAGATGGTGAGCCCATAATTGATGGAGAAGCTGGAGACTTAAAAGTTAGTTCTTTGACCTTGCCACCTTGGTTTAGTAAATTGAAATATCCATGTGCCATGTTCTGAAAATAACCAACTACATTGCTTTTGCAGTTCCGTATCCACACAGCACCTCATGACCGATTCAAAAGGGAAGGCAATGACTTACACACAACCATCACTATAACACTGGTATGACTTGGATTAATTTCTGGGTCAGGTTATTGTTCTTATAGTATTTGGTACATCTTCCATCAAATTTTGGATGTAAAAAATATTCCAGCTAGCATAATTGGGCTTATAAGTTCTTCCAGTTGACCTTGTCCCATGTAAAATTACGTTTTTGGTTCCATCTAGATTTGATTTCTTGGACCTTTATTGTATACAGGTTCAAGCTCTTGTGGGCTTTGAGAAGACCATCAAGCACCTTGATGATCATTTGGTTCACATCGGCTCAAAGGTCAGCAGCATTTACTTCCTACCTAATAGGCTATAGCTTTAATATTGTCACGGAAAGGACATTGTGTTTCTTTCTCGTTTATATATGTGTGTGTGTGTGTGTGTGTGTGTGTGTGTGTGTGTTTGAGTTTGAATGGGCAAAAAGATAAAGTTGAGGTGACATACATATTATTATGTTGGTTGATAACGATGGCATGGCGCAGGGAATTACAAGGCCCAAGGAAGTGAGAAAATTCAAAGGGGAAGGGATGCCTTTGCATTTCAGCAACAAGAAAGGAGATCTCTACGTAACATTTGAGGTTCTATTCCCCACGACACTAACAGAGGAGCAGAAGACAAAGATCAAGGCTGTTCTTGGTTAGGTACCGTATAGGCAGCCTATAGGAGGATATATATATTTTTGTTAGTTCAGTTGAGATATGTTTCAATTGTAACATGATGATGAGATCTTCAGTACAGAAAGTTAAGAAAATTTAAGGAGGCCCGAGCTGCTGCTACTTTTTTTAGCCCTGAGCCCCTGCTGAGCCCGAGTTTAGTGAAGTGAAACGAGTAAAACATTTTACGATCATCATCATCTTTTTGTTGTAGTTGTAATATTTTCCCCATCTTTTACAGTTTTTGAGTTGAGCTGCTGCATTTAAATCCAATCCAACTGCCTTCCTGCCTGCCTTCCACCCACTTTAGGCACCGTTAAGTGAACTTTATTTTTAGAAATTTGAGGACTACCTTATATATTATTATATTTCTCAGCTCCCTGCCTAAAAAGGAAGCTGCAAGTGAAGAAGGGACGTTGTTTTGGATCGTAACAATAAGAATAGGTCAATGGTTGGCCCCCCTTGTCCTTTGCAAGAGGAAAAAAAACTTACATGTAACGAGATAACACTGTTCTGCTATCTCCGGCCAATAACACAATGATATGTGAAAAAGTTAGTTTATATGTTATTGCGTTAT